TTAGTATTGTTTGTATATAAAACATTTTTTGTAAAAAATATTTTTTATTATTTTTTTTTTATATTTATTATATTATATTTTTTTCTTTATTTCATTTTTTTCTTTATTTCATTTTATATATATATACATTCCCCTCTGTGTATTTTTATTGATATACACATTTTAATATTTAATGAATATTTTTCATTTATATGGATGTAGGTGCATACACACAAACATCTATATATATATACGATGACATGCATTTTTTAGGTATTAGATTGTTTTATTATTAAGCAAATGTTATGATTATTATATGTCAAAAAGATCGTTTTGTATTCTGGCAAGCCGCAGAGTCATGTCACAATGTATTTCTCCGAGTCAGACATAGCAGTAAGAGTAACATATGTATCAATTGGCAATAATATTAAAGCAATGAAAGTGCCCCCAAAAACATGGCTGCTCCCTGCAGATATACAACAATATGGCGTGGCCGTGCTATGTAAGCCGGCAATGGAAGAGTGACTAACCTATCACAACCCCCTGATGAAGCCACGTGACCAGTGGCGTAACGCGTAGGGGTGGGGCTGTAACGTCACTCGGAGAAAGCCGGATTGTTTGACAGACGGCGGGTGCATGACTCAACGGTCGGCGGACTACTCGTTATATACAAATTGCCTCATACTTTGTACAACAAATGTGAGTGTATCTTCTGGAAGTAATAAAGCAGGAATTTTTTAAAAGGATAAAACACTATGTTTGGTAATTTGTCCCCACATATGGAGAAACGCATGGAGAGGAGATCATAAGGGGATTTGAATTTCGTAAGGAGTGATCAATCCCGAATGGGCTAATTAATGATAAAGGATATCCATATTTCACAGTCTATTAAGGAGGAATTTCATCCAAGCAGGTTCCATAGGAGGTGAACCACAAGCGCATATAGCCTAATTGCAGGCAGATAAGGAGGTGAGCATACATCTGCACTAATTAGAGGATTCACAGAGAGTCACGGATTCACAAAAAGTCACCATTTCTAGATTAAATCAAGCACAGAGTCACTGAATTTAAAGGACGTTATTAATATATATTTTTTATTTATTTATTTGCAGTATATATATATATATATATATATATATATATATATATATATATATATATATATATATATATATATATATATATATATTTTATTTATATATATTTCACGTTTTTTTCACAAATTATGGTGCAATATTGGTTTATTTATTTTTATTATCACGTACAAACCATCATATCATGTATTTTTTAAGAGAATCATATTCACATTTAGGTATTCTCTACACAAGTGTTTATTATATTTAGTTTTTTTACATCACTGTATACTAATGTTTTTTTACATTTTTATATATTTTTATGTATCAGATCATTCGATTACACATTGTCAATTTTTGGGTGTATTAAGGAATAAGGAATATAGAAGAGATACCTATTAGGAGCGCAACACAATATGAAAAATTAACTTTATGGACACAGTGGTAGTTGTGTGTTGAGTGTTTGCGATCCAATTATACTTGGGACATATTGTGTCCATTTTTGGCGTTCTTGGGGGGCTGTTATTTGGTGGATACAACTTGGCTCGCAAGTCATACAGATACCTTTTAAGTTGCATTACTGAAATAAATGAACTTTTGCACGATATTCTAATTTTTCGAGTTTCACCTGTATGTCGTGGTATTGAGATGTCGGGATCATGGTTGCAGCTACAGCCATGACCCCAGTACCGTTTTTTTTTTTTTTTTTTTTTTTTAAAGGAGGTGATTTCCTTTAATGTAAAAATAATCCTAGCAGCTATACAGCTGTTGCATTTTTTTTTACAGACAGCGGATGGGGGTCCTGCTGCATTTTACTGGGCTCTCCTGAGCAATTGGGGAGCCCGGTAAGGATGCGACCAGAGGCATTGGCTTCCTTGAGCACACTAAGATGATGATGATCCTTTCACTTTGTGATGTCACAAACCAGAAGTGATGAGGATTTTGTCACTTCCAGTTTCAGGTTGTTTACAAACTGTTGATTGCTTGTGATCGGTTTGATCTGCTGCTTTGGAGGCCAGAGCCATAGACCCCAAATCTGTCCATAAAGAGGACTTGTCACACACAGCCTATGCTATCAAATGGGGGGGTTCACCCCTTTTTGAGAGCAACAAAAGTGATTTTAAAAAGTGTAAAAATAAAAAAAGAGGTACAAATTTTAAAACCTTTTTAAAGCGTCCCCGTGCTCGTGTGCAAAGGAGAACACACAAGTTGGTCCCACACACATATGTGAATGGCGATCGCACTACACATGTGAGTGAGGTATCACAGCAAGAGTAATAATTCTAGCGCCAGACCTCCTGTGTAACTCTAAACTCTGGTAACCTGTAAAGCAAATATCTTAATATAAGGTCTACGCTGTGATAAAGAAGGTTGCTAGCAGAAAGGTTGATATACAAAAACTCTATGGAACCACAGAAATAATCACCTGCAGCACCAGGTACAGTTGTGTCCAAAATTATTCAACCCCCAATGCTGTAAAGGGGTTTAGGGACTATAGTGTACATTTGGAATTGTATTCAGAATCAAATCCTACAAGGACGTTGTAACTACCCAAATGCAACTAAAATGACATCAATTGTTTATGTAATACAGTAGTAAATGGTTCTTATGTGGTTTCTTCATTGCCACAATTATTCAACCCCTTAAAGACTACCACTCTGAAGAACAGAGGTTCATACAGGTGCTTTCCATCAGGTATTGAAAACACCTGTGGATGTCACCGAGCAGCAATCAAGCATAATAAGCACCAATTAGGCAGCTTTAAAATGACTGTGATACTCAGCTCCTTCTAGACATTTACTGGTGTGGTTACAAACATGGTGAAGGCAAGAGAATGGTCCAGGAAGACAAGAGAAGAGGTGATTTCTCTTCACAGGAAGGGCAATGGCTATAAGAAGATTGCAAAGATGTTAAACATACCAAGAGACACCTTAGGAAGCATCATTCGCAAATTCAAGGCAAAGGGCACTGTTGAAACGCTACCTGGTCGTGGCAGAAAGAAGATGCTGACTTCGACTGCTGTGCGCTACCTGAAGCGTAGAGTGGAGAGAAGTCCCCGTGTGACTGCTGAGGAACTGAGAAAAGATTTGTCAGATGTGGGTACAGAAGTTTCAGCCCAGACAATAAGACGCACACTGCGTAATGAAGGCCTCCGTGCCAGAACTCCCAGGCGTACCCCCTTGCTGTCTCCAAAGAATAAGAAGAGTCGACTGCAGTATGCCAAAAGCCATGTGGACAAACCACAAAAGTTGTGGGATAGTGTTCTGTGGACTGATGAAACAAAATTAGAACTGTTTGGGCCCATGGATCAACGCTATGTTTGGAGGAGGAAGAACAAGGCCTATGATGAAAAGAACACCTTGCCTACTGTGAAGCATGGTGGAGGGTCAATCATGCTTTGGGGCTGTTTTGCTTCTGCAGGTACAGGGAAGCTTCAGCGTGTGCAAGGTACCATGAATTCTCTTCAGTACCAGGAGATATTGGATGGAAACGTGATGCAGTCCGTCACACACCTGAGGCTTGGGAGACGTTGGACCTTTCAACAGGACAATGATCCCAAGCATACCTCCAAGTCCACTAGAGCATGGTTGCAGAGGAAAGGCTGGAACATTTTGGAGTGGCCATCGCAGTCACCAGACTTAAATCCGATTGAGAACCTCTGGTGGGACTTAAAGAAAGCAGTTGCAGTGCGCAAGCCTAAGAATGTGACTGAACTGGAGGCCTTTGCCCATGAAGAATGGGCGAAGATACCCGTAGATCGCTGCAAGACACTTGTGTCAAGCTATGCTTCACGTTTAAAAGCTGTTATAACTGTAAAAGGATGCTGTACTAAGTACTAAGATTGAATGTCACTTGGGGGTTGAATAAAACTGATAATGCTGTGAGCACAGAAAAGACATTTGTGGTTATTTCATTATAACTGTTATGTTATATTTGTCTGACCTACAAGTGCCTCTTTAATGTAAATGTAAGCAAGATGACTGAATGATCAAAAGCAATGTCAAACTGGCCAAAACACTCAATTTCAGTGGGGGTTGAATAATTTTGGACACAACTGTAACCTGTATGAATAATTTAATATAACATGGTTTGTTCCATAGGCATATGCTATTTTAAAGCATGACCTGTTTCATATCTATTTACTCGGCGTAACATCTTTTCTATTTTACAAAAAAATTGGGTATTCTATTGTGCTTCTGTTCGTTAAAGTGTATTTTTTCCAGAAAACTTACATTTGAAAAACCTCTGTGCAAATACCATGTGATGTGAAAAAATATGTATGCTTTTATTCTGCTTTACTGTGTTGGTGAAGGTGCAAGGTACTACTAGGCAACTCTAGCCAACATCTTCTGAGATCCAGCCTCCTGATGACCTCAGCTGTGTAATGCAGTGATCACTAAGGCATTAGTGGATGTGACATCCTTCTGAAGACCCCCTAGTACAGTGCATTGTGAAAGTATTCCCCCCCCCCCATTTGTGTGTTATCCTACTTTTTCACCAATTAAATCTGAAATTAAAATGGATTTTTGAGGCTTTGTACCATGTGATGTACACAACATGGCAACGACTTTAAAGTAAAATATTATCTTAATCGTACAGTACAGGACACACGCTGGATAGTAATAGACCCTGAGTTTTAGGCTGGTACTTTCAGGTTATTGGAAACAAGCTTTCCTGGACATGCTGCTCAAGTGCACCTCACTCAGGTGTTAAATTATGAGAATTTTGGAGCTTCAGTCTACTAAATGTTCACCTATGACTGGGACCTAAGGCCTTTGTCGGTAATATATGTAATTTATAAATTGTATTAGTAGCCTTTTTACTACATAGAAATAATATAATAATCTCTACAAGAATAAAATTGCAGAGATGGCAAATGGAGGAAAAAAAAATTAAACTCAAAGATTTGATCTCAATTAATGTTTGAAATGTTTGTGTACATTTTAGGTGTGGACGCAGAATCAAAAATGGTGGCATCAGTTGCTGCTTCTGCTACTACAACTACCACTACTACCACTGCTGCTGTGACCTTAGCCCCTGCTGCAGTGCTACAAGCTTCACCAACATCTGAAGTTAATGCATACCAGGATAGCAAAGATCTTAATAACCCCCATGCAATTCCACGCAGACATGCCCCTGTTGAACAATTAGCCAGACAGGGCTCATTCAGGGGATTCCCTGCCCTCAGCCAGAAAATGTCCCCATTCAAACGTCAGCTTTCTCTGCGAATCAATGAATTACCATCAACTGTGCAGAGGAAGACAGACTTCCAAATCACCAACCCAGGTAAGGCAGTTCTAAATCTTTCTCCATTTCATCTATGTATCAGACAATACTTATTCATGTAAGAATAAAAGGCCATTTGGATTGTTTTGGAAACGATTACTCAAGGTTTTTGATTTTTAGCTTTTGGCTCTCAACTACATTTTAAAGGAGTTAATACATTTTCATATCTAATTTTATATATGCTTTTCTAACAGTGGCACTAAACAAACGAGTTTACAGGATTACCAAAAAGCAAAGTTCACATTAGAAATATCTAGTAAATGTTAATAAATCCTTACTGGAATGTCAATGTTTTCTGAAGTGTTCTTTCATTCTGCCTACTAAGGCATGTGCATTATATGCTACATCTAAGGCATGCCTGTGGCAATAACTGTCACAGTTGTCATTGTGCTTATGTCCACTCTCAACCAAGCATTCAAGCCCTCTAATGCAGCAAAAATATGAAGTTGGTGATCTTTATGTTTTTGTTTTTTTTTGTTTTTTACAAAAACTACTAGAACGGTTCTTCCCTTGCATGGTGTTATGCAACCACACCAATTATAATTTACTGTTCAAAACCACCTTTTTTTTTTTTTTTTTTTTAATTCAGCTGCGAGATTCATTCATAACCGCTTTGTTGACATGATCATATGATTGCAAGTATCGTGAGCTGTAATCCCACACAGTGATCGGGGGGGGGGGTTTGAGCAGGCACAATAATGTAGATCTATGTCATTGTGCTTACTTTGGCTTGTCAGCAAGTGGTTAATGGTGTATTGGTACATAGGGGAGCTGTAATTTAGGAAGAAAAAAACGTATTCTTAAAATAGACCTTTACCAAGGTACAGTGCCTTGAAAAAAACATTCATACCCCTAGAAATTTTGTCAAGTTACAACCAAAAACGTAAATGTAATTTTTTGGGATTTTATGTGATAGACCAACACAAAGTGGAACATAATTGTAAAGTGAAAGGCAAAGGATATATGGTTTTCAAAATTTTTTACAAATATCTGAAAAGTATGGCGTGCATTTGTATTCAGCCCCCTTTACTCTGATACCCCTAACTAAAGGCTAGTGGAACCAATTACCTTCAGAAGTCACCTAGTTAGTAAATAGAGTCCACCTGTGTGTAATTTAATCTCAGTATAAATACAGCAGTTCTGTGAGGTTTATTAGAGAACATTACTGAACAAACAGCATCATAAAGGCCAAGGAACACACCAGGCAGGTCAGGGATAAAGTTGTTGAGAAGTTTAGAGCAGGGTTAGGTTAAAAAATAATATCCCAAACTTTGAACATCTCACGAGCACTGTTCAATCCATCATCCAAAAATGGAAAGAGTATGACACAACTGCAAATCTACCAAGACATAACCGTTCACCTAAACTGACAGACCGGGCAAGGAGAGCATTAATCAGAGAAGCAGCCAAGAGGTCCGTGGTAACTCTGGAGGAGCTTCAGAGATCCACAGCTCTCAGGTGGGAGAATCTGTCCACAGGACAACTATTAGTCGTGTATGCCAAAAATCTGGCCTTTATGAAAGAGTGGCAAGAAGAAAGCCATAAGAAATCCAGTTTGCTGTTTGCGAGAAGCCATGTGGGGGACATGGCAAACGTGGAAGAAGATGCTCTGATCAGATGAAACCAAAATTGAACTTTTTCACCTAAAAGCAAAACGCTCTGTGTGGCGGAAAACAAACACAGCACATCACCTTGAGCACACCATCTCCACTGTGAAACCTGGTGGTGTCAGCATCATGTTGTGGGGGATGCTTTTCTTCAGCAGGGGTAGGGAAGTTGGTCAGAGTTGATGAGAAGATGGATGGAGCCAAATATAGGGCAATCTTAGAAGAAGACCTGTCAAAGTCTGCAAAAGACTTGGACTGGAACAGAGGTTCACTTTCCAGCAGGACAATGACCCTAAGCATACAGACAGAGCTATAGTGGAATTGTTTAGATCAAAGCCTATTCACATGAATTGCCCAAAGTCCAGACCTAAATCCAATTGAGAATCTGTGGCAAGACTTGAAAAATGCTGTTCAGACGCTCTCCATCCAATCTGACAGAGCTTGAGCTATTTTGCAAAGAAAAATGGGCAAAAATTTCAGTCTCTAGATGTGTAAAGCTGGGACATCCTCAAAAAGACTTGCAGCTGTAATTGTAGTGAAAGGTGGTTCTACAGATATTGACTCGGGGGCTGAAAACAAATGCATGCCACACTTTTCAGATATTTTTTTGTAAAAAAAATTTAAAAACCATTTATCATTTTCTTTCCTCTTCACAATTATGTGCCACTTTGTGTTGGTCTATCACATAAAAAATCCCAATAAAATACATTTACGTTTTTGGTTGTAACATGACAAAATGTTTTTCAAGGCACTGTAAATACAGGAAACATTACAGACCTTTAAAAATATCCGTACAGGCTATTGAGCCAAATGCAGACAAACATGCAAAACGGCCCTGTATTAAATGCTATTATTTTAAAACAAGGCATTTATGTGACTAAAAAAATGTATCATTGGTTTAAAAAACCTGAATCTAAAAGTCAAATGTTACTTTGGGCCTCATTCATAACAGCATGGATATCACTTGCGCTCTGTTATGCACTGCTGTGCTTCATACAGCTCTGCCCATTAATAAAAATGAACTGAAAAAAAAAAAGCCTTATGGAGTTTTCTGCTCATTGGAGCAGAGAAAGCTCAATGGTTGGAGAAAAGCCAGTTACATTATTTTTGAGGTCACAGAGCTGTCAGAGCTTGCGCTGGTTACAACTGAAAAACACATGATCTGATACATAGGGCTCAACGACAAGAAATCTGAGAATTCCTCCTTGTAGTGGGACTGTGTCCGCACTGCAGGTGTTAACTGCTCATTTAGGTTTAGGGAAAAGTAAAAGCACTTAACTTCTCGGGCAGAGTTCCCCCCCTGCTCTGGCAGTGGACTGCCCCTGGGCATCAGTATGTCCTATGGGCCCTGCAATAGTCTTGATCACATCAGGACCTTAGACCACAGGAATATGGCAAAGAAGATGCTGCGGGGAGCAGTCTAGCAGCACAGAGGATTGGATAAGTAAAGCATCTTTTCTATCCCCCCTACACCTCAACAAGCAGTTAACCCTGTGAAGGTGCAGCCCCACTGCAAGGAAGAATTTCAAATTTCCTGGAGTTGGGCTTTAACAATTTTGTTTGTTTTTTGTAGAACAGCAGTTATTTTTTGTTTATTTTTAAAATGTTCTGTTATAGTAATTTATGGAATGTTCATTGTGATGTTCTAGTTGCTGAAATGGAAGGGGAGACTGACAGCATCAGCGCCTTGTGCTCCCAGATAACCAATACATTTAGCGCACCATCAGAAGACCCATTCACATCAGCTCCGATGACCAAACCAACCACTCCTCAATCTCCACCATTTGAAGGTCTGTACTGGATGGTGTGCATTACTGTTTCTATGTCTAACTAATGTATGTTATAGTTGTATGTTTGTTTTATTACTGCTTATTGGTGAGACCTAATACAGTTTTCTTACTAGTTAGAGCTGTGTTACCTTTAAGCTGCAAGAAATAGTAGTGTTCCCATTACTCTTAATAGAACAGGGACACCATTGCACCAAGTCTAGAGTGGCAATACTGCTGCATTCTGAACACAGCTGCTCAGCATTGGCACCATTCAGAGAATGCTTTGCATTTACTAAATGCGCAGTTGACACCTGGGTTACTGTGTATTTCTTCATGGACATGCTTACCCTATTTCCGCACTCTGCTCTGTGTGAACACCATAGGGGAATGTTCTCGGCAATAACAATGGCAAAAGCCAGGTGCAAAGGAGCTGCAGAAAAAAGTTAAGGCAAACATTCGCTTTGCCAAAGGCCTGCAAAACACTTGCCCTGGAGCAGGACCCTATATCAACATCAGTCTCTGCATCCAATTCTAGCTTTGCCTCAGACATGCAACAAGCAGCCTATCTGACCAGGCAGATTTTTCTGCAAAAATGCCAGATTTTCTAGCACAACTAACGGATTTAATACAGTCATCATTGTCCACGGCACAAAAGTGCCAAGCTTCCTCTCCAACCCTGCTGTCTCTGCCCGAGTTGGAAAATGAATTGCCACTCTTAGAGGATGGAGGCATTGAGGGGGAATGAAGAGGGCCCAGAGACAGTGTTAGAGGTGGCTATGGAAGATTCTCTGCCTCTTACACCTGATATATCTTAATGGGATATGCTTGGCAGTGTAGAAATGTACACTTCTGCTCTATGCATAAAAGAAACCTGCTAAGTTAAGACATTCCCCATTCATGACAAAATAGAATGGGCAATTTATGACAATTGAGATAACCCTGAAAAGATTTTTACCCCCTGAGAATGATTGCTGATCTTGCTCTATCCAGTGTAAAGAGTTCACTAAAAAGAGAAAAAAAAAAAGTCTGTTTTAGTAGTAGATCCTGGTGTCTGTCTTATAATATCCTAATGTTCCTAATGTATCCTAATAATGTTCCTATAGATGTATTTTCATTTAAAAATTTACTGACAGAAAATTTGAGATCACTTTTAAAGATATTCTTTAAAGTGGTTGTAAACCCTTACATATACCCAGCGAAGTGAGTGGCCTTAGGTGATACACAGAGATGAAAGAAAAAATGGAAGGTTCTGAAACCCTTTTCCTTGAGAGCTTCTACCTCCTTTTGATATGTGTGCTTTCCTCATTCTCCTCTGGCTTCAACTTCAAAGCCTATCAATCCTTTCATTCGATGCAAGACTTGGAACCCAAAACCCTTTTCAGAATGAAGGGACATCTGTTTGCCTTTCTCTAGGTTGGACATCCCAGACTTGTGGGTTAAATCTGTGGTTTCAAAGGGGTACAAAATAAAGTTCAAAACCTTACACCCTCATCGCTTGCTTCTCTCAAACCAACAGAAATTTTCTCATGGACAGTCAGATCTGCAGACTGTTCTGAACTATTAATTCTTCTGGAAGACAGATTCAAAGGATTCTATTCAAAGGGTATTCATCCTTTCCTGGACCTGAAATCCCTAAACAAGTACCTTCACATTTCAAAGTTTTGCATGGGCTACTTCCAAGATGAGCTACATCCAAGATGCTTATCTACATATTCTATTTTTCATTCTCATTTACCCAGCTCATCAGTGATGCCTGCATTTGCAGTAGGATGCAGACTTTTGCAGTCTGTAGCACTGCCATTTGGCCTATGCTCTGCAGCTAGAGTATTTTTCACAAAGGTACTCATAGATCTTCTTGCCCTCGTAAGGCATTCAGGTAACAGGGTTCCTATGAAAACTTCTGAAGTACACATCTCTCTTTCAACTATCTGCAAAAATCCAAAGGACTGTTCAGATTCTTCAGGCCTTTAGGTGGGCAGAAAACCTCAAAGGTCTGTGTAAAAATATGCTGCTGATTCGTATATACCAAAAAAAAAAAAAAAAAATCTTAAAATACCAAATTAACATAATTCAGAATTGTGCTAACTGTAGACGTGTGTAATTATAATCCAACATCATTGCATTATAGTCCTTCATGTAAATGTCAATGAATAAAACTGATACAATTCACCAATCATCATCAAGTCAACATATACAATTCAATTTGCGAGATCAGATTGTGTGCTAGATACCTCCACCAAATCCCATTTGGTCACACACCTTATCAATTTACTCTTATTACAAAGGTTTTTGTGCACCTTTTAATCAAATTCATTGGACTCCCAATAACCCAGCTCGACTCTCCATGTCTCAAGCAATCCTCCAGAGAACTCTCACTCAGTAAATCCAGCAATCCTGTCCTCAGTTGACAAAGTATGGATCGGTGCTGAAAAGGATACAAAAACTGACATAGTGCTCACTGAGTTATTTTCATTAAGAAAAAAAAGTTTAAAAAATGCATTCCAACACTGCTCAGGTAGATGGCTGTAACACTGGCAATATACAAATAACAATTGCATGGAAACTTTTCACCCTACATATTAGGTCGTTCTGATGTCATCAGGGGCAGCTGGAAGAGTTTGTTCAGGTTTTGGGCCTATCCATTTTGATCGAAAAACTTCTGGCTTAATTTTTCTCCTGCAAAAAAAAACTTTTATTCAAGTTGTTAAATAACAGCACTTTGTGGTTCCTTGGGATCTTAATTTTGGTTATTTCTGCCCTGCAGAAATCATCCTTTGGACCCAATGGGGAACTCCCTGTCAGATGTGTCTCTGAATGAACAGACCTCTATTGTAGGGAGCCATTCCTGATGCTCCACAAAAATATAGTAGTCTTGTGCCTGAAACCAACTTTCTGCCTGTGGTGCTATTTAACTTTCACTTTTAATGAAAGTTGTCTTTCCCTATTTATGCCCTGCTTCTAAGCACCCCAAAGAGATGGCTCTGACAACGTTCAGACAATGAAGAACAATCTTGACTTTTTTTTATAGAAGCTGTGGCTATAAACTCTAATTCTCTGTCTTGTCACAGTCTCACAAAGGACATCTTGCTTCAAAATCCACTATTGCCAGGTGGATAAGACAACTCCTTTCAAGAGCCTACACTCTAAAGAAGTGATGGTCAACTTGAAAATTATAGAGAACTTCAAGCTTGGCCCCTGACACACAGTAGCAACACATCTTCATGCATTGAAGTGCATTGCATCAGGTTAGGCAACATGTTAACAAAGAAAAAAAAATTGGCTAGAACGCATCCCATCACCCAAACATTTTGGTCTTGCAGCATTTTTTTGCAGTGTATCGCAGTGCACACTGAAGACGTTGAAGTACAGTAACCTCTGGGGGGCAGTGACTGCAGTATTAACCTCCAGCATTGGTTATTAGTGGACACAATAATACACTGCTCAAAAAAATTAAAGTAACACTTTTTAAAAACCTGGGATATTGATCTGGTCAGTTAAGTAGCAGAGGGGGTTAAGTTTCGGCTGCTTTGGTGTTAATGAAATGAACAGGTGCACTAGATGGGCAACAATGAGATGACCCCCCCCCCCCCTCCCAAAACAGGAATGGTTTTACAAGTGGAGGCCACTGACAACAATCTTTGTTTGTTTGTTTTTCCCCCTACTGATCTTTTTTGACTGTTTTTCACTAGTTTTGCATTTGGCTAGGGTCATTGTCACTACTGGTAGCATGAAGGTGATACCTGGACCCTACAGAGGTTGCACAGGCCGACCAACCCCTCCAGGATGGCATATCAATATGTGCCATTGCCAGAAGGTTTGCTGTGTCTCCCAGTACAGTCTCGAGCATGAAGGAGATTCCAGGAGACAGGCAGTTACTCTAGCAGAGCTGCACAGGGCTGTAGAAGGTCCTTAACCCATCTGCAGGATCAGTATCTGCTCCTTTGTGCAAGGAGGAACAGGATGAGCACTGCCATAGCCCTACAAAATTACCTCCAGCAGGCCACTGGTGTGAATGTCTCTGACCAGACAATCAGAAACAGACTTCATGAGGGTGGCCTGAGGGCCCAACATCCTCTAGTGGGCCCTGTGCTCACTGCCCACCACCATAGAGCTTGACTGGCATTTGCCATTGAACACCAGAATTGGCAGGTCTGCCACTGGCACCTTGTGCTTTTCACAGATGAGCAGGTGGACCCTGAGCACATGTGACAGATGTGAAAGAATCTGGAGAAGACGTGGACAACGTTATGTTGCCTGTAACTTCATTCAGCATGACCGTTTTGGTGGTGGGTCAGTGATGTTTTGGGGAGGCATATCCACGGAAGGACACACAGACCTCTACAGGCTAGACAATGGCACCCTGACTGCCATTAGGTATCGGAATGAAATCCTTGGAACCATTGTCAGACCCTATGCTGGTGTAGTGGGTCTTGAGTTCTTCCTGGTGCAGTACAATGCCCGGCCTTATGTGGCGAGAGTATGCAGCCAGTTCCTGGAGGATGAACGAATTGATACCATTAAATGGCCCCCACACTCCCCTGACCTAAATACATTTGAAATTTTGGCCTATATTATGTTTATTTTGTGGTTTGTATGTTGAAATGGATTGTATCAAACAACGTTCAGTTCTGCTTATTACCACCATTGTGTTTATAAGTCACTGGTAATGCAGTGTTCATGCATAATAAGCACAGTTTAATATGGTCTTAAAGGCATCTCAAATGCATGCTCTGTTCCCTGATAATATGCGGTCTTCGATTTGCTCCTGAGTCTGATGCTTATTAATATGAACACTGTGTGGGCGAAGCACAGAGAAGAATTTTGGGATGTCACAGAAGGATATGCCATTGCAGTCAGTGCTTCCCAGCTGCCCAACTGGTGAACTTGCCCCAGTGATTAAATTACCTTTTCACCTATGCACAGTAAGTGGATGTTCTCCATGGGGAGTAATTGTCCCAAGCTGCTAGAGACAAGTGTGCCTCTCAATTACAGTAACAAAGTTAGATTTTGTAACTGTTTT